ATTTGACTTTTCCTTGAGTTCCTGAATCCATCCCTTCAGACTCACTGGCTTCTTCACCTGTGCAGGTTTTTTTCAGAAATGCAAATTATGATTTGATTACAAATTATCATCTGTTGTTTTTCTTTTGGAACAAAAATGAGGAATGAAATGAAACAGTTTAGTCTCATATCTGTGATTTGCTACATTGAGGAACCGACATGAACCAAGCAGCCGAGTCCGAACAGGATCCTCGCCCGGCCTCTGAAAGGCCCCAGCGCCACACTTTGGACACCGCTGCTCTAAAACTGCTGATTTTGTGTTTCTGCAGAAATATTGACTACAGACTGATTCCTGAAGATGATTTTTCTCTTTTCTTGGCAACAAAAAGATCTGAAGTTTTCCAAAACTGAACATAATGGCCTTTCATTAAAGGTCGTAGAATAAAACCAGGTTTCTGTGTTTATGAGCTCGACGTGTTTTTGTCCTGCAGCTTTGAGCCGTTTGGATTTGTGGAGCGTTTAGAGCTGCGCTGGTCTCAGGCCAGTTTCTCCTGCTCCACTTTAAATAACTGAGCCGACAGTTTGGATCCGAACGGAAAACATTTTCCTAAAGCTTCTGATGAAAGTTTTAATAAAGATTATTGATCTTTAAAACCCAGAGACACAGAAATCACACGATGCCGATCAGACAAGAGGAGAGAAACCAAATGAAACCTGATTAGTTTTAAACACGCGGGACTTGAACGCCTCACAGAAACACATTAAACCTCCTTCTGTGGCCTTTGGTTCATTTTAGGTCTTTATGACCATGAAGTCATAAATGTTTCTCAGATTGTAATCTGGATGAACGCCGACAGAAACCCGATCTGACTTTGACCCAAACTGGGCGACATATTTAACCAGACCTGAACTTTCCTAATTTATATGTTTCTTTAAAAAAAAGCTCATAAAACCCAAAGAGAAACATTGAGAGTTTCAGAAAGTCTGGATGTTTGATGAGGCCGGACTGAAATGTTTTCGGTTCCTGAAACTCGTTTTCAGGTTTTGGTTGGAGCTAAAATTTATTTTCTTTGGTGTTTTTCATCGATTTAACCAAAGAAACGGATAAAAAACTGAAAACCGTCCAGGAGCAGACGGGTTCAGGCTGATGACTCCAGACTTTTGCACAGTGAGTTTCGGTTGCTGAGTTTCCTGAAGCAACCAGAGGAAGTTTATCACCAAAGCATCAAAAGCAGAACAATGTTCACGTTCTCACAGCAGGTCTTCAGGCTCAGTTCCGACTTTTCGCTAAAATACGATTTTTTTTCTGCGTATTTGTTCGGTGGATTCGGACCCGAAGTGTTGGGATGCTGCGGTTCCATTCCCTTAAAATTACGCAAATTGGAATTAAAAACTAAATTCACTCAAAGGAAATTTAGAAAAAAACAAGCTTTTCAAAAAAAGGTTTTAGCAACATTAGTATATTTACTGCAATGGAAACACAGGATCAACAATAGCATGTTACTACTGCAGGAAATGAAGAAGAAAAAGACTACAGGAAGTGGTCTTCTTCATGTGATTTTAATTTTCTTTATTTAATGGAAACGACTAATAAAAATGTATTTTTTAAAGTTTTCCGATTGACTCAGAATTCTTTCATGAGTTCATGATTATCATTTTCATTGCTTATGTCCAGATTTACGTCTTTCTTCTTCTGGTGCAAATTATGAGGCACGTTCACCTCAATGACGTAAAGGTCGAATAAAATCCCACATGTATTGACATGCTGTGGAAACAATCAGATTTATTTCCGAACAAATTGGTGAGAGATCGGAATCGAGCGAATTCGCCTGCTGTGTGAACGTAGCCAAAACGAACCAACCAAAACCGAAACGTCTCGTCGGTTCGTCCGATGAATCGGATCCTGTCAAAGCTCCCAATCAGGAGAACGCATCGTCAGCGGCCCAGAAGGCCCACCTGGCGGAGGGCAGAGGTTAAGGCGAAGCAGTGGCAGTGAAAGAAGCTCCAGGGAGAGGCTAGGGTCAAGGGTCAGATGAGATTCCTGGGACTCATCGTCACAGAGTTGGGATGAGAGCGGGTTGGTCCGTTTGGAGGAAGGTTTCAGGATGAATCCTGTCCAGTCGGACCGGATTCCCGTCAACTCGTCCGCCGCCAGGCCTGAAGGACTGAAGGTTCCCATCACGGAACGTCGCACTCGATGTAGGGGATGTCGCTGTAGCGGCTGTCCACCTCCAGCCACTGCTGCACCGCACGCGCCACGATGTCCTCCGACAGCCGCTGGGCGTACTCCAGCAGCGCCGCGTTCACCTGCGGCGAGCCGTCCCCCGAGCCGTCCGCCGAGCCGCCCACCAGGTAGGCCTTCTCGCTCGTGGGCTTCCTCTCCGTGGAGTTGGGGTGCTGGGAGGCCGCGGCGCTCCGCTTGGATTTGACGCAGCCCCATGCTGGAGGCGACCTCCTCTTCCTCCGTCTGGGAGTTTTCAGCTGCTGTCATCCACTGGATTCCATCGCAGAGAGCCAAGAGGGCGAGCAGAACGTCCCGGTCCGCCCGACCCGGTCCGCCCGACCCGGTCCGCCCGACCCGGTCCGCCCGACCCGGTCCGCCCGACCCGGTCCGCCCGACCCGGTCCGCCCGACCCGGTCCGCCCGACCGGTCCGCCCCACAGAGACGCTGCAGCTGAGGGAGACAAGAGGATAGAGGTCACTGGTTTATGTTCCAGAAAGTGACTGAGGCTAAATGACGGGAAGTGAAATCAGTTGAGCTCAGATAAAAACAGATGAAATAAATTTTAAAAGCTCTGAAGTTTCAGGAGGTTTGAACAAAAACTGATCCGTCTAAAATCTCAACCTGGGTTTGTTTGAAGTGAACTCTGGTACGGTTTGAATGCATATGTGAATGCCAAGCAGACTAAAGCGCAGGGCATTCTGGGTAAATACAACCAAAGCCAACGCGCTAGCATAGCGCTAGCAGAAGAAATGGCTTGTTGTCTTTAGCCACAGACTAAAAGAGAAATCATCCAACCGCTGAAATCTGATGCGTCCATTTTTGTTTGAAGGAAGGTTATCAGAGGTTTTTGTGTCGTTTCCTTCAGTGGTTCTTGGTGCAGCGCCCCCACAGGCCAGGAGGGGAACAGCTTGTTCAGAGGGTTCTGTTGCTTTGCAAAAGCAGCAGCTGGAATTGGAACCAATGTTGCCGTTTTAGTCCCAAGTCAAAGCTAATCTATGATCAGGAGCAAAAACAAGCTGAAGGCTCCAGAGGAGGGTTGGGAGGGCAGAGTGGAGGTCAAGGCCTCCCCTCACCCTCTGCCTGGGCAGTTTATGACTCAATCCCTCTGCCTGTGACAGTGTGGCGCCACACCGAGCAGCGTGTGTGTGTGTGTGTGTGTGTGTGTGTGTGTGTGTGTGTGTGTGTGCGTGTGTGTGTGTGTGTGTGTGTGTGTGTGTGTGTGTGTGTAAGCCTCTGTGTCCCATCTGTTCCTCTGCAGCCTGGTTCTCCCAGCATGTGCTTCATTCAGGATCTTCCTCCACGCAGTGCAGCCCATCAATGATTTACATGCGGAGTGTCTGAGTGGGCGTGGGGGGCTCCGCGCCGACCTGAGCATCTGACCCCCTTAAAGAGCCCAAAGGTCATCAAGCATCAGGCAGGTGAGGTCACAGCAGACGCGACTCTCAAACATGTTGCGTGGAAACGTGACCCAGTGGAGCTCCACATACTTTCATCTGCAGGAAGGAACCAGATCCTCTGCGTTCCCTGAAAATCCTCCCGTCACAGCATTAACAACACAAGGTCGTTCAGGATCAAATGCTGCAACAGCCGCCCAGTAAACCCAGTAAAACCCAGTAAAATCCCAGATCCGGACCCAACTTGCCTGTCCTGCGGGTTGTGGTTCTGGATGACGCGCCGCTTCGTGCCAGATTTAGATAATCTGAGCGGTTTAAACGACCCCGGGATGCTGGAGCGTCCGCCGCCGGCAGGTCGCTGTGCGGCCGCCGGAGCTCCGCAGCAGGCAGGGAGGAGGGAGAGGCGGTCCGGTCCGGTCCGGAGCGGAGCGGGTCTCCGCCGAGGCGCAGCGGCGCTCTGGATGAGTCCGGGGCGCAGCGCAGCGCGGCGCGGCGCGGCCCGGCGCGGCGGCGCGCTGCTGCCCCCTGCTGGATGAACAAACAGCCCGGAGCAGGAAATAAAACCCAACATGATGGACTCAACATCAACCCGCCTTATTTCCACCGAGTTATTAATTTATGTCAGTTTGAAGTTAAATATTTATTTAGCGAGATGAATATTTTATAGCAAACAAAATAAACATTCATGTGTAAAACTATATTTCATGAAGGGAAGTACTAAATAAATAAACTAAACAGTAAAGCAAACATTTCGTTTTAGACTAAATACTTATTAAACATACATATTTCCCAAGGATCTATAGCTTCAAACTAAATATTTACAAAGTAAATTATAGATTTATTGCACAATTTATATTTAGATGGTAGGTTAAATATTTAGCTTGATCACTAAATATGTAGTTTGAAGGTGAATATTTGATTCCTAAATAGAAATTTATTAAACATGTTTTACAGTTTTCCTTCTGAGGGAGAATAAATTATATTCTGCTGTAAAATCTACTGAAGTTTGTGGTTTTAAAGTAACAAATATAGAAAAGTGAAACAGATTCAAAGGCTGGTTTCATAACAGGCAGATTTTTTATTCTTTTATCATTTTATTTGGTTGTTTTTGGTTCTTAAAGTTGAAGAAATGATCAAACTTCCAACTGCAGCTACGTCACTTCCACCACCAGGGGGCAGCACCTCCCCATTCCTTTACAACAGAGGCCATTTTTCCTGATCTTAAAAGTTTTAAAGTTCACATTTCTTATTATCTTCAAAACTCCAAACACCAAATGAGCCAAACTGTGACTTAAAGTTTATCAGAAGTTCAGGATTACCACAGATTAAATGAAACAGTAAAAAGATTATGAATCAGAACTGATTGCTTAATGACAGACATTCCAGAAACCTCAGAGAAGCATCATATTTCACTCCTCGGTTACATAATCAGTCCGTTTGTTTCCCAGGCCTCCAGCCTTACATAAGCAGGATCATTAGAGGAAAGGTTGAGCAGAGGGTGAGGCTTCATCACGACGTCGGTTTGATTCAGAAGAACAGCCGGAGGATCTTTGGCTTGAAAAGCTCCAGTTTGCTGGGATCCACCTGCTTCATGGCGTCCTGAGCCCCCAGGATGACCTGGTGGGCCTCGTCGAACAGATCCTTCCCGATGGCGGCCTGCACTCGGTCTCGCCAGGCGCTCAGCTTCGCTCGGCCCTCGAACACGTCCCCCGGCGCCCAGCGGCTGGTGGACAGGAGAAGAAGAGAAACGTTTCAGAACTGAACATAGCATGAAGGTTTCCTTCTGAGCTGTTTGCTTAGTTAGTGTTAAATCTTTAGATTGCTAAATTAATATTTGGCTCAGAGATAAATAATTTGAAATCATGAAGCAGTTCAGTCAGATTCTCCTGATCATTCGGTGCAAAGTGAACATTCATCTGATAGCGTCACCATTGCTGACTTAGCAGCAACCCTCATCCTCAGGAAGTGGCAGGAATCACTTCCTCTTCATCAGCAAAGCCTGGATAAAGTACCAGAGTCACGTCGTCCTTCAAACTGAACTTTCCTCCTGTCTGATGAGCAGAAACACTGAAAACTCAGATTCAGGTTTGAGTTCAGTGAAGAATCACATTTTATATATTCTGTTAACGAAACAATTAGCTCTGAGCTAAAAGGAAAAACAGCTAGCTAGTTTAGTTAGCAAGCTACATCTGGGCCTGTGCATTAATATTTATATTTACTCAGTGCTAAACATTTTTAACAAGCACAATTTTTAGCTTTCTAACTAACAAGTTAACTACATTTTTACCTGAAAGCGAAAAATTTAGTTAGCAAACAAAAATATTTAGCGCAGAGTTAAATATTGGTCTGTTAGCAAAAACATTGTTAGAAAATAATTTTTTGTTTGCTAACTGAATGTTTAAGCTGGAGAGAAATATTTAGCTAACATGTACTAAATATTTAATAACTGAATATTTGCTTTGCTATCAGAACTTGTTTTCCTGGACTGGACCAGCGGAAAGCAACAACCTGCAGCTTCCTGTCCACCAATCCTGAAGGTCTTCATGCTTCACTCTGCTATTAGCCGGACGGCTAGCTGCTCCGTTTGGCTCATCAGATGATGACACATCTTTAAAAATAATTTTTCTATTTAGTGAGTGAGAAGCAGTTTGAAGGGCCTTCAGGAAATCTGAAGGTTTCAGCCTCCCTGGATAAACACCGACAGGAAATCCCCTGCAGGGCCGGACCTCCCTCCACAGGAACCCGGTCCTAGTTCTGGCCCAATTAACCCTTCCAGCTCACCTGCATGACCTCCACGATGGCCACCAGGTCGGCCAGAGACATCTGGTCCCCCACGATGAAGGGCCGGTCCTGGAGGAAGTTGTCCTCAATGAGGTTCAGCGAGGCGTTCAGGTCCTCCAGCGCTCCGTCCATCTTGTCCTTCGGGACGTCGATCCCCATGATCTTAGGAATCATGAGCTGCAGACAAACATTAATTCTTCATGGCAACCACTCCGCTGATTGGGCCGAGCCCCGCCTTCGAGGTGCAGCTCCTTCAGACTAGCCAGCAGCTATTAGCAAACATCTGCTGAGCTCAGTACAGGGGCTGCTAAAAACATTAAAGGGTCAATAGGGAAGCCATGTTGGCTGACTTCCTGGAGGCGGAGCTTCTTAAAGAGACAGAGGCCCAATTTCAAGGCTGTAAATTATGAAGTCATATTTTGTATAAATATCATTTTTAAAACAAACTGAAGGCAACATATAATGTTAAATGTGTAAAGTGGATCTATGTGCCTGGCCCTTTAAGGCTTCCTGGGCTGAAACGGTTCTGTCTGAAGCGTTTGACTCGATTCTGGTTAATAACTGATCAGATCAGTAATCAAATATCACAGTCAGTTTTCTGCCTTGTTTGTCTTCAAAGGGAAAAAGTTCAGTTGATTTATTTCAGCCATAAAACAACAGAGACAAAACAAAGTGAATATTTTTAGTTTAGACCCAAAGCTGCTAAACTTCAACGTTTCATAGATTTGATTAATATTTTTATCTGTGATCAATAATTATTACACAGCTTCTTTTCTCGAGGAAGAAAAAATAGATTTAACAAAATATGAAAAGTCAAAAATGACCACAAGTCTCACAAAAGGCTAAAGCTTCGGGTCAGAACCAGCAAACGTTTTGTTGCTAAAGGTCAACAGGTCAAACCAATATTGTTGGAGCTATTTATTCTTTATCCATTTGAATTTTGTTAGTTTATTCTTAAACTTCTGTTTTTTGCATTATTTACAGAGTTTATTTGCAGGTTAATAATTGATTTTATTTTTGTTTTGTTTTCTTATTTTTTTCTATTTTATCATTTGTAAGCCAGACAGGAAGTGAGGCGGGTCAGTCCACATTCTATAAATGTCGGGCCTGGTAAAGGACCAGCAGGCGTTTGGGTTTGGGGCCTCTGGTTTTTACCAGAGCAAGACGTCAGGAGGACAAAGAAAAGTTTGATAAATCTAATTGCTTGCATAAAAGGAAAATAAAAGCAACCAAGACAATCAACAAGTTTGGACCTTGAACTTCTTTCGCCTGCGTCAAGAACCTTGACCCCAGAGCCTCATAGTGGCTGATGGAACTTTTTTTTTTATTGGATGTTTGGTTGAACAAACAATCGCCACAACAAATAGGTTTTTATTCAGTTGATTTTTATTTTAGTCCCAATTTTATTTTTTAAATCAGACTTAATTTTATTTCTGTTTTTATCATCATGAAGCATTTGGTTAATGCTAAAACAGGCTAGCTGGTTCTGAACTGGAACCAGTGTGGACCAGTCTGAGCGTCGGGTTTTGGGGAACTCACCCGCATCCAGAACATCTTGGAGCCGTGCATCCGGATGGCCATGTGCTGCCAGGACAGAAACTCGTTGACCCGGCAGCGCAGCCGCAGGTCGGCCGGGTACCAGCGGTCCGGAGTCCCGAACTTCTCTGCCAGGTAGAGCATGATGGCGACGCTGGAGGAAAGCGGCGGCTCGTCAGGACGCATCCGGACGGAAAACGCCGCTTTCAGCAAACACTCACCTCTCAGCCAGGCAGAAGTCTCCGTCTCGAAGTGCTGGAACCTTCCTGATCTTGTGATTTTTCCAAATTCATCTCCAAAATGTTCACCTGAAACCCAAACAGACATGGCAGACCAGCAGGAAACCAGGCAAGACGAGACTTCCTGAAGGAAGAGAAGTCTGCAGGAAATGTAACTGCTGCACCGATTGGCCGATACTTAGACAAGAGACCGATCCTATCAACACCACAAACATCTGGAGATCCACTAACATCTAGAGATCCACTAACATCTAGAGATCCACTAACATCTGGAGATCCACAAACATCTAGAGATCCACTAACATCTAGAGATCCACTAACATCTAGAGATCCACTAACATCTAGAGATCCACTAACATCTAGAGATCCTCCTCTGTCCGATTCCAACATCAGTTTTTGACTTACCAACTTTCCAGACTAAAAAAAGCCAACAGATGAGGTCAAAGGTTGCTGCAGCCATAATCACAACCAACCATTATTTTAATAATCTATTATTCTGATGATTAATACGGAGCCCCCGAGGGGACATGGGGATTTTTTTTTCTTTTGCGTTTGTTTTGCGAGATAACCCAAAAGAAAAAAAACCTCATGTCCCCTGCGGGGCTCCGTAGATTAATTATTAAAATGACACATCTGGCTGATTGTTCATTTAAGTTTTCTTGAAGTGCATTTAAAGCTGCAAATAAATTTAAATCCATTTTCAGATAAGAAATAAAAATTTTATGCCTAAAATGCAACAGCAGCATTATTTCACTAAACTCTTCATGATTGGCAGCAAAGGATGAAACTTATCAATTATCAAACTGTGGATCAATATTTGTTTGGATCATTTTCAGCAACCATGCAGATCAAACAGCGACCTTTGACCTCAAACAGGAGACTCACCGTCCATCAGAGAAACCTTCTTGAACTCGAAGGGGATGTTGTTTTTCTTCGCAAAAATAAAGACGGAGCGACATGGCTGCGAGAAAAGGTCCAGATAAAGTTCCACCACCATCTCTGCTGCTGCTGCTGCTGCTGCTGCTGCTGCAACCCGCGTCTCTCTGCAGAACCAAAGATGATCCTCCCAACCGCGAGAAAACACTGAAAACACCGGAAGTTCGGCCCAAAACTCCCACATTCCAGAACAGAACCTCCGAACCCATTCACCAGGCCGCCGGGAAACTACGACACCTGCTGTCCAAAAAATGTACTGCAGCTCAAATTTCAGACTTAGTTCTGAAACTTCGGAACCGGGACAGGCGGAACCGGGACAGGCGGAACCGGGACAGGCGGAACTCCATATTATTGTTTATTGCAATAAGTTGTGGTGAAAGTCATCGTCCAGGTTTTCCTGTGATGAAGTTTCAAACATTTATCTCTGAACTGAGACATTTTCCATATCAGGATAAATAAAATGAGTCGTGAATCCGTGACGTCAGGATGCAGCTCTGCATCCGGGAGCTTTGCAGCGGACATGACGTCTGAATCAGAACCTGAAAAACAGCTGCAGCTGCAATTAAGTACATTTTTCAGTTATTGAATATTTGAGTATTTATTTTACTTTTACTCTCCAGATCAGTCTGTACTTCGTCCTCCTTACTTTGTCACATATGAATGTTTATTTCCATGATGAGATCAATAATCAAAAGGAAAAAACCACTTGAGAAACTGAGAGGAAAAACATCCTGGAGGATTTGAGCTGAGAACGTCACAAACATCCAGACTGAGGTTCTCCGTCTGCAGCCTGGAGATTCGCTGCGTTTCTCCTGATAGCAGGACTTTGATCGTTTCCACGGCAGCAGAGCATGTTGAGAGTGAAACGCTGCCTGACGAGAAACTTTTGAGCATTTCAGACATTTCTTTTGTCTTGAAGGTGAACATGACTGTAGTTTTTGTATTTAGGAACATTTTAAACACAGTGAGAAAAACTTTTACTAGAGTATTTTTGAAAACATTATTTCTACTAAAGTAAAGAATGTGAGTGTTTTGCATTATGGGATGTGCAGTGATGATCTTTATTTCATCTACAGGAAGAGAAATCGATCCCAGAGCCGATCAGAGGAACCGGGCCGGTTCCTCCAGCAGAACCGAACCAACTCGATTTCTACTTCTGGAATTAACAGCTTCACTTTAAACAGTGACATTATTTCAACGGTACAAATCTCCAGTTGGGATTCTGGAATGGGCAGAGGTTAAAGGTCGTCTGCTGCTGGTTCTTCACAGGAAGCTCATCACGGTTCCTTTCTTCCCCACCTGGTGAGGCTGCAGCTCCAGGAACTGGATCACAATCCTGCAAATGTCACATCAAACCAGACGCATCACTTCCTGCCTCGTCAGCCAAACAGGAAGCTGTCAGCAGAAACAAAGATGGCGGCTCTGTCGACGCTTTAGCATCTTTAACTGGATTTTTACTTCTATTATCATGTCATAACAGCTTCATTTCTATTAGGAAGCAGAAACTAAAGGGACAAAGTGACAAATTCTCTGTTAATGTTGACTGAATGCAGTGTTTATGGAAACGTCCAGCAGGGGAGCTCACCTGTCTTCAGCCAGGCTCAGTTCTTCGGTCAGGAACTTGAAGATCTTGGCGCTGTGCTCCTTGTTCTTCTCGGCGCTGTCCGTCACAGAAATGGCCGACACCGACACCACAACACACGGAGCGCAGGAGCCGCTCACCAGCATCGGCAGCCCTGGATGCACCACCATGTTCATCCTCTGGAGGGAGAAGAGCCTCCGGTCAGTTCGGCTGCTTCATAACGAGTTGCTCGACATTATTCACCTGAGATCATCTCTAAAATGCTTCGAATTGCCTGTTTGTACCATGAAGGTCATGAATGCACACAGTAGAAGCTGACAGAAGCTAACATCCTGGTCATTATTTCTGCTTGAGGTTTCAGCCAATCAACTCAAAAGAAATGAACGATTCTCCTGGATTAGCAATGTAGCCAATAGCACAGCGGATACATATTTCAGCTTCAGCTAACCCTGACCCTTATGAATATTTCAGATATGCTACAAGAAAAAAAATTTAACAAAAATACCAGGAATAATTTAGTGTTAAAACACAAAAATCTGTAACAATAATAATAACTAATTAATCAGCCAATTAAACTCCATCCAGATTCTGTTTTGAATCGCTGCTGTTCTGAACAGGAAGCGGGGCCCGCAGCTCGTTCTGCTCCAGGCCCCATAAAACTTTGGGTCGCCCCAGCTGACAACTCCTCTGGATCTGGTCGCCAGATAACCTGGAGACGCCCCGATCTGTTACACCGATTTTAAAAGAAAACTTCCGCAGTCTAACTGTTCTCAGCGGGTCGGTTCTGGTCCTGCAGGGTAAGTGGGTGGAACCGGGTCGGAGGTGGAACCGGGTCGGAGGGACTCACGTCTTCCGGTTTCCCCAGCGCCGCCGCGGTGACGCAGCAGAACCGCTGCAGGAAACCCGAGGAGAAGCTGTCGGCGGGCAGGTTGCTGTCCAGAACCACGAAGGGCATCTTGACTGGCGGGACTGGGAGCTGCGGCCGGACACGACCTGCAGAGGTCAGTGACAGACAGGAGAATACTTCTTCCGGCTGTCACTTTCAAAATAAAGATAAAGATAAATACTTTTTTTTCAACGTTTCCCGAAACAACTGTAATATTTTATTAAAACCTGCTTCTGTTTTAACTCCACATTTATTCGTTACTCGCGACTTAAAAAAGGCGCGTTTTATGCACCACGTGACGTCATTTCCGCGCAGAAAAACATACCAAACAATACTGAAATGAAAAAAATCTTCAGGATGTGACTTTTGATTTTTAAATATTTAAAGTAATAAAAAACATAAAAAAGCAAGAGAAGTAAAAAATAAAATAAATTGACTCATTATTCTGAAAGTCACGCTTTCCGTTCAAACCCACTTCCGCCATGACAGAAAAATAAAAGCTCAACCGGAAGTGAACAGAATGAATAAATAGTCACATTTATGGAAGTCACGCTGCCAAAATCTCACGTCTGAAAACCAAAATTATTACTGAATCTCATATAATTTGATGTTTATTTCATTAATTATTTTAATATTTATGTCTCATGTGATATAAAACACGCCACACGGTGGCGCTGTCTCTTCAACAAAACATTAATAAAGATTTTCAATATTTTTTCAGCACAATATAATTTTATCTGCAGATTTTTAGGGAAAACAAACAAAACAAAATAAAATAAAACTGTTTTTCTGTTGATAACTCAGAGTTGATCTTCAGCTGCAGAAAAAGCATTAAAGTTTGATCCTGTTTGTTTGAAATTTGTTTTGCTTTGGATTTTCAATGTGATTCACCTGATAAAAATCCTTCCTCTCGGTTTGAACGCATCGTTTCCTCTCCAGCCAATCATCGCTTCTGTTGCCACGTAACAGGTGAAAGTTGGAGTATAAAAAGCTGCGCTAATAAACTATGATGCCCGTCAGCGCGGCTCATTTTCCCACGCAGCTCCGAGGCGCATCACGTCGCAGCGGATCTTTTCCTTCTTGTTCACCCGAACCGAGCCGTAGAGACCATGGACCTGACCCGGACCGCGCTGTGCCTCAGCCTGCTGGCTGTTCTGGGTCCAGTTGTTCTGAGCGAACCGGACCCGCAGCCGGCCGCCGCCACCAGCCCCACGGACACGCAGCAGTGCCTCACCTGCGAGGTGCGGCAGCACATCAAGACCATGCGGATCAACGCCATCAAGTCGCAGATTCTGAGCAAACTGCGCATGAAGGAGGCGCCCAACATCAGCCGGGACGCGGTGCAGCTGCTGCTGCCCAAAAGCCGCCGCCGCTGCAGCAGCTGCTGGACCAGTACGACGTGCTGGGAGACGACAGCCGGGATCCCCGGAGGAGGACGACGAGCACGCGACCACCGAGACTCTGATGATCATGGCCACTGAACGTAAGTCCGCCTCGAGCTGCGCTTTCTGCCCCATCAACGCGTCTTCTGCGCGTAAAAAAACTTTCACGCTCAGAACTGCAGCGAGGAGCTTTTTGCTGGGAGATTCTAGAAGATAAATGAAGAAAAATCACGAAGGCTTTTTGTTTTGTGTGTTTCTTGCAGAACAATTTGTCGGTTTCTGACTGTTTTTGTGCGTAAAACAAGATTTTACGCACAAAACGGCTTTTATTTTGGCATCTCATTGAGTTCTGGAGTGTTGATGGTGATGAAGCTGATTTTCACTGGAGCTCATCATCCAGACAACAAACAGCTTTTTTTGCATCTGTTGAGACCAGACTGAGGTTTTTCCTCAAACAGAAGAGAAAACTGTTTAATGTGATGATCATTCAGGTTTATGACAGTTTTAGACTAAATGAAGCTTTAAGAGGCGACAGAGAACAAAGTGAGACATCAGGTGGAGAATTAATATGAATCCCAGGATTAAAAACTTTATTTCTGTTAGTGTTTGCAAAACAAAGTTTGTTTTTATTGATTTCTGTGAAAACACATTTTTCATTCCCTGGAAGGATTTTGGTGATTCTGATGAATCACTAAGTTTACAAATAGTATTTTTGAGCTTGCGACACAAAGTGTTTATTTTTATTTTAAAGCTTTTATTTTACATTGAACACAAATTAGATTCACTGATTCATTCAGTTTTAAAACGAGGTTCAGGTTCGGTGCCGATGATGGATTCAGAACGACCTTCATCTCTTTCCTTCTGACATGAGGTCAAAAGCTGCGGCTCTGGTTCTGGTTCTGTTCGCAGCCTGCAGGGTCAGCTGGTTCCACCTGTCAATATTTACCCTCCGTGCGTCTTGTCCCGCTCTGTGTTCCTGCAGCCGACCCGGCGGTCCAGGAGGACGGGGAACCGACCTGCTGCTTCTTCTCCTTCACGCAGAAGCTGCAGGCCACGCGGATCGTGCGCGCGCAGCTGTGGGTGCACCTGCGCCCCGCGGCCGAGGCGACCACCGTGTTCCTGCAGATCTCCCGCCTCATGCCGGCCACGGACGGCGGCTGGAGGCACGTCCGGATCCGCTCCCTGAAGATCGACGTGAACGCCGGGCTGAGCTCGTGGCAGAGCATCGACGTGAAGCAGGTGGTGGCGGTTTGGCTGCGGCAGCCGGAGACCAACTGGGGCATCGAGATCAAGGCCTTCGACTCGCGGGGGAACGACCTGGCGGTGACCGCGGTGCAGGCCGGGGAGGACGGGCTGGTGAGTCCGCGACGCGGCGGCGGGGCGCGGCGGCGGCGGCGCGGATCGGAGCTTCGCCCACAAATATCATTTATATTTTCCTGCAGTTTGTTTTATAAAAACTTTTCCCGTCAGAGAAACTTTAAGTCAAACTGTTAGAAAAAGAGAAAAAATGTTTTCAAACCAGGAATTAATTTATGCAGGAAACAAAAACGATCCGTTTCATCCAATCAGAGTATTTACTGCATGTAGAGCAGCCAATCACAGCCAAGGCGAAGAAACAAAACTAAAGTCCAGGATTTGAGAAAAACATTAAAACTCCATAAACTCACATTCTGAAACGTTTCATTTGTTCATTTCTGGAATCATTTATGATTCCCCGTCGACTCGCTTTAAGGTCACTGTGGATGACCTTTGACCCACTCTGCTGAGTAAATTGATTAAATTTGGGCTTTGACTAGGCCGCTTGAACTTGGTGGATAGAGTTGGATCGTAGTTCTGGTCTTGGAGGCCAGAACTACCATTGAACTATGACCTCTGACCTTTACTGAGGCAGGGAGGCCTGCAGAGCTTCTGATGTTGTTCTGGTCCAATCAGAACCTCGGAGGCGGATCTGTTCTTCATGTGGACAGTCGGGTTCTGTCATCATTTCATCAAGAGAATCTCATGGAGGTTTAAAATCATTAGTGATGAATCATCAGAAATGTAGGGGAGGGGCAAACTTCGTTCTGTAAAAAACACAAGTTAAATTTCTGAGGAAAAACCTGAGTTTCGTTGGTTCTGTTTCCATCATGCTGCGGCTCAGCAGAACCCAGAACCGCCGGTTCTGATCATTTTATAACTTCGTCTGAATTTCTGCGTTTTCTCTTCTCATCTCTGACGGTAGAAAAATCAACCGCTCCCATTTTTCTGCTTTAGATTTTTGCGTGAAGCGTTGAGCTGCAGGTGTTTGGGGTCAGAGGTCATCTTGAAGCTGCTGCTAGGTTGAGCCCTGACCAGAACCGGTTCCTGGACAGCAGAGTGATGCTGCGGGCTCGCCGACCCAGAAGCAGAGAAATCTCCTTAGCAACAAGTGACAAAGCAAAATCTCATTCAAAATGTCCAAGTTCGTTTATTTTCCCCTCGATTGAAGAAACAAAACGATTTTATTGTTGATTAAAGTTAGTTAGTAACTTGTTACATTTACCTTTTGGGAAGAAACTTCTAGGAGTATTTTTACTAGGTTGTACTTTTTACTCTTACTGGAGAAAAACTCACCTGTTCAAGTTTTTTACTGAAAGATTTGAAAAAGTTTATTTTGCCTGATTTTGTTATTTTTGATAGTTTCTTCTTCTTAACTTCATATTTTGATCCGTCTGATGATGCAGTTTGTAAAGGTTGAGTGATTGATCATTTGATCAGCTCCTCTGTACTGCAGTTGATCAGTTATGGAGTCTGACTCTCTGCTCTGGTGCTGAAGGTTCTGCAGCCGTTCAGCCGCAGCAGGAGCTCAAACAGGAAGTAATCAGGCTGGACTCCTCGGGCCAATCACATCGCGCCGCTCCACATTCCTCACAGCTTTCTGTGTGACTCTGCAAATCAGAGTAATTGCCTGCACACACACACACACACAGACACACACAGACACACACACACAGACACACACACACAGACACACACAGACACACACAGACACACACACACACACACAGACACAGACAGACACACACACACACACAGACACACACAGACACACACACACAGACACACACACACACACACAGACACAGACAGACACACACACACAGACACACACACACACACACAGACACACAGACACAGACAGACACACACACACACACAGACACACACAGACAGACACACACACACACACACACACACACAGACACAGAGACACACACACAGACACACACACACACACAGACACACACAGACAGACACACACACACACACACAGACACACACACACACACACACACACACACACACACACACACACACACACACACACACACACACACACACAGACAGACAGACACACACGCCCGGGGCGATCGATGACAAGCCGCTGCAGCGCTGCGTCCGGCGCTGCAGCGCTGCGTCCGGCGCTGCAGCGCTGCGTCGTCCGCGCGCTGCGCGCGTCGCGCTGCAGCGCTGCGTCCGCGCTGCTGCGCGCGCTGCGCGCTGCGCCAGCGCTGTCCGCGCTGCGCGCTGCGCGCGCAGCGCTGCGCGCGCTGCGCTGGCGCGCCGGCGCTGCAGCGCTGCGCGGCGCTGCAGCGCTGCGTCCGGCGCTGCAGCGCTGCGTCCGGCGCTGCAGCGCTGCGTCCGCGCTGCAGCGCTGCGTCCGGCGCTGCAGCGCTGCGTCCGGCGCTGCAGCGCTGCGTCCGGCGCTGCAGCGCTGCGTCCGGCGCTGCAGCGCTGCGTCCGGCGCTGCAGCGCTGCGTCCGGCGCTGCAGCGCTGCGTCCGGCGCTGCAGCGCTGCGTCCGGCGCTGCAGCGCTGCGTCCGGCGCTGCGCTGCAGCGTTTATCCAACCGTCTGATGATTTAATTTCTCTGAAAGTCACGGTTTCATCATGTTTCCGTGACGATTGAAGACTCGCTGCCAGGAGATGAGAGGCTGAACGCTGACTCGGCTCCATCGGGTCAAGAATGACCCCGGGTCATTTGGGTTAGTTAGCAGGTCATCAGAGGAAAACATGGAGGTTTGCTTTTTAAATGTCACTGTTCAAACTGGTCATGTAATTAGTTTAGATCCAAACTAATCAATAAAATAGACTAGATATTAGTTAGCTCTGAGCTAGCTCAGTGTTTACTTTAGAAATTAAATATTTAGGAGCTCAGAGATAAATATTGCTCTAATATGTAGCCAACATGCAAATGTTATTATGGATTTGACTATCAAAATAAAAGCTGTGTGTTGTAGCTGTCCCAATCCGTCCGATCTGTCGTTTCAGCAACCGTTCATGGAGGTGAAGGTGTCTGAGGGGCCCCGGCGGGCCCGGAGAGACTCGGGTCTGGACTGCGATGAGAACTCCCCGGAGACGCTCTGCTGCCGCTACCCGCTCACCGTGGACTTCGAGGACTTCGGCTGGGACTGGATCATCGCCCCGAAGCGCTACAAGGCCAACTACTGCTCCGGGGAGTGCGAGTACATGCACCTGCAGAAGTACCCACACACCCACCTGGTGAACAAGGCCAACCCCCGGGGGTCCGCGGGCCTCTGCTGCACCCCCACCAAGATGTCCCCCATCAACATGCTCTACTTCAACCGCCAGGAGCAGATCATCTACGGGAAGATCCCGTCCATGGTGGTGGACCGCTGCGGCTGCTCCTGAGTCCGGGCCGCCGCCTCAACGCTTCAGGCTCCAGACGGATCCGACGCCTTCCTGCAGCCACCTGAGGCCACCAGCAGGGCGGCGCTTTCACCACCAGCATACTGTAGCTTTCTTTCTTCCAGTGAACTTTGGCCGTCCGACTCAAAGCCGGACGGGCGCGAGAACAGAGCAACGCCTGACGGACCGTGAAGTGAATGTAGACAGAAATGATCCAAGTTAAACCAAAGACATTCATCCCCACAAAGTTCCTGCATCTCTTTTCTGTCTGAAGACTAAAGTTAGTCAATTATTAACAGCAATAATTTGAGTTAATTATCCTGATAGAGAAAAACATGGAGTTTAATTGTTCACTCCCTGCTTCTCATGAATGTCAGTTTCAAACGAAGCATTTAGTTTGAATGGAGCTATTTAGTTCACAAGATAAACTTAAGTCATCAGTGAGCAGATAACTATTCAGCTCCGAACTACATAGCTAGCTCTGAGCTAGCTTAACATTTAGTTAGATTTGAGCTGCATACATTTTGGCTAGCTGAGCAGCTAGCTACCAAGCTAGCTATTTAGCTTGCTGACTAATATTTAATTAGAAACTTTGGGATTTACATAAGAATGAATAACATGGTGAAAATGTGAGTTTGAAAATGAAGCTGATGTTTTTCTCAGATTATTGCTGATGGTTTTTTTGGCTTTAAGACTCACCACACTCGTTTCTACTCGTTGCTTCGTTTGTGAACCAGTTTTAAGGGTCTCTGACGTTTGAGACCCGTTGGAGTCACATTTCACCCAACGAGCCGCTAACAGAGAAACATCCAGGAAATGAAACCCACAGCATTCTGACAGTTAATATCAGCTACTCTCCCCAGCATGGCGGTTTGACTGGAGCAGAACCGGTTCTGGGTAAACCCAGCTGAGCGGTTCTGATTGTAGCGTCGCCTGAACTGAAGGCTCAGAACCGAGATGTGACTGACCCAGTTTGCACTATGGCACACCAATAGGACCAGTTGGTGGCTACAAAAAGGGTTGTAAAAACTGATTTTGATATGTTTGATAATTTGTATTGTGTGCATTTGTTTCCGCTGATGGTGAGTGTATAAAAACCACAATGTAGCAAATAAAACATGTTATACAGAAACTCTATATGTACTTGTTTCAATAAATAAAGTCTGTAGCTTGTTTGTTGACTTCTGGTTCTTCTTCTATGGTTTCTTTCACTTTTTTGCACCAAGATCGTTTCATAATTTTCTTTAAATTTGCAGTAAAATACTAATAAATCCAAAAATAATCAAAATATGATTTTAAATGTGTTTTGAATAAAACTATGTTGGAAACATTAATGAGGGAAATCACTGATGTTTGTTCAGATATGAATCAAAATAACTGTGCAAAAGTATTTACATCTCCTTTAGTCATGTTAAAACTGATTCTGTGTATTTTACAATAATACATCTTTTTTTTTAAAACAATCAAAATCTGAGAAGTGTGGAGTGCATTTATTCAGGCTCAGAACTAACTTCCTCTAAGTTTTAACTCCACCAGCTCTGAACAGTTTTTCACATTTTAGTTTTATTTTTACACAATAAACTCATTTCTTATTTTCCTCAAACTGCAACACTTTGTATTGATCTGTCATAAAATCTGAATAAAATATCATGAAGTTTGTTTGGAGCGATGGAAAGCTGTTCTGTGTGACCCAATAAGCAGATGAATACGTCACAATCTTTGACAAGCTGTGCATGAATTCAGATACAAACAGATTTAATATAAATCAGCTGATTTGACATATTATCCCTTTCATGTAAATGTAGAAACGTAGAACTTTAGTTCTACGTTTTAATAATTCATCTCACTTTTACATTCAAAAACAGGAAATCTTTTTTTCCTCATTTCTCCTTAAAGCTGATAAATTTAGATTTTTACGTTTAAAAATAAATCAAATGACTAAAAACCACCAAGATACTGTAAAGCGGGAACCATAAACCTGCCGTTTTATTGATCAGTAAAAATGAGGCAGGAAAAACAAAAGCAAAACCAGAAAATATCCTTTAAAACTTCTGATTAGCAGAAGACGCTTCGACAAGATTCACTTCACTTTGAGGAGCTAAAGTGGAATTTCTTAAACTGGCAAGTCCGGTCCAGTTGGTCCCAGTTGGTCCAGTTGGTCCCATTGGTACCAGTTAGTCCCGTTGGTACCAGTTGGTCCCATTGGTACCAGTTGGTCCAGTTGGTACCAGTTAGTCCCGTTTCACTGACTTGGCTGCAGGCTGATGACAGGATGTGACCTGAACCGGACCGGACCGAACCCCCAGCCTGGTTCAGCCCAGCAGGGGGCGAGAGGGCTCTGACCCGGAGAGACACTTCAGGTAGAAACCTGCCACAGAGGCTGCAGCCCGACAGATGATGCTGCTGCAGCTGCTGGGTTGTTGCTGCAGCTGCTGCTGGGTTGTTGCTGCAGCTGCTGCTGGGTTGTTGCTGCAGCTGCTGCTGGGTTGTTGCTGCAGCTGCTGCTGGTTGTTGCTGCAGCTGCTGCTGGGTTGTTGCTGCAGCTGCTGCTGGGTTGTTGCTGCAGCTGCTGCTGGGTTGTTGCTGCAGCTGCTGCTGGGTTGTTGCTGCAGCTGCTGCTGGGTTGTTGCTGTTGTTGCAGCAAAAACACAACACCAAACAGCAGCACAATGGGCTCAGCTGCAGCAGGTTAATGTTTCTGCAGGTTAACATGTTTATTTTCTCATCATGTTTTAGGAATTAGTAAAATAAACTCTGGACGAAACTTGACTATTGAGTTTTATCTAATGTGGGTCCAAACCGGGTCATCAACAGAACCAGGATCCAAACAGCAGCAGCTAATCTACAGCAGAACCCGGAAAGAGTCGATGGCCTAGTCAAAGTCTGGAGCTCCACTGTATTGAAATGCAGAGGAATTCTGATGGGAACAAAGATTCTCCATTTTCAACATTTATTGTTTTAATTTGTCTGCAGAAATAATAATATTCATACAGTTGATCTGATGACGTTTAACAATAATCAAGTTTTTACTGTTCAGACTGGAACCTTTTGGATTATTAAACCCGTTTAAGAAAACATTTTTACCAAGTTCAGATTCAAGCTAAACATTTAGCAAATATGCTAATTCACAGACCGCCAAAATAAAAGCTTGCCTTGCTAACCTCTGCTGGTCCAGTTGTTCATGTCGTCATGGTTTCTTCCTTTCTTCATTTGCAACCAGTTCAGCTTAAACAAGAGATGAGACATTTCCCAGCTTTTATTTTGATAGTCCACTTCCGGCCATCGCCATGTGAATTAGCATATCTGAGCTAGCTAAATATTTTATTTGCAAACTAAATATTTATGGTGCTAATGAAATATTTCTGAATATTGTTGAATGTCTGATCAAAGTGTCTCAATAACCAGGTTTTGCTCTTCATGCCTCCGTTCTGTGACTTTTGATGACTTTGCTCTGAGGACATTATGCAGAATCATCATCCTGTTGTTAAATGACTCCAAATATGTTTTATCATAAGAAGCAGAAAACATTGGGCTTTAAACTGGACATGTTGACGTCTTCTGATCCGTCAGAGGGCGAGGTTGTGAATCCTCTTTGCCATCACCCTAATCTTCAGCTTCACCCGGCTGTCGGTGAATCGCCAGCCGGGTGAAGCTTCTGGTTGATCCTGAGCTGCAGCAGCTTGTTGTCTGCAGCAGACAGACAGCAGCTGCTGGTAAACATTTTCACTGAGCGCCATTACATCTGTCATGAGTTGGACCCTGGAGGATCGTCTCCGCCAGCAACATTCCACCTCTGACAGGTGAGGAAGTCTGAATGAGAGAGCGGGAAGAAGGATGTTGGGGGGTGAGGGAGGATTCCAAGGCAGCTGGAGACCCCGTTATTGGACCGGATTCCTGTTGTGTAAAGTTAATAGAAATTTAAACTATGGAGCAGGGATTGTTTTCTTAAGTTCCCTGATAGATTAACATCATCGTACCGTGATGATGTACGATGATCATGGAACATTCGCTTGAATTTGGTGATGATATAAAGACGATACTTTGGGTACCAGAAATAGAAATTCAGACACTAACAAACAACGTCTGGATTATCGAAAGATGAACTTTGAAAGTATGAAGGGCTGATGAAGACAAGATGGCTTCCTCAGATCCCGTTTAGTCCTTTCTGCTTTTGCAGGGTCACACAGTCCAGCTTTGTTTCACAACCCAATTATTTTGCTTCAACATTTAGCGAACACTGACCCAACTAAATATTTAGCTTGTTCTGACCCAACTAAATATTTAGCTTGTTCGTTGCCCCAATCCTCCACATGACCTGAAGAGACACATCAGCCTCCCCAACCTCATAACATCTAGTTTTACCTCAGCAACCGCCTCCAGGTCAACGGATTGACCGTCCTCTCGCTCTGAGCGTCCTCTGAAGGACAACACGCTCCCAGCCGGTCCTCACAGAGCAGCTGTAAACTGCTCTGTCCTTCGTTTTGCAGAACTTCCTTCAGGTCAATCAAAGTCCTGGATTCCTCTCACCAGAAGTTTTGGTTCTGCAACCACCAAAGCTGCAGCCCTTCTGGCCACCGATCGTCTACCAGAGGATCCACTGGTTGCCCACTGTCCGGTCCATCGCTCCTGAACACGGTCCATTCAGGCCACAGGCCCTAATGAAAGGAAATGTGTTTTTCCTCTTTAGGATCATCAAGGTTTTCTTGGTCATTTCCTGCCTGTTTTGCATTTTCCCAGATTAACAAAGCAAATCTCAGAGAGCCATGTGGCTCTGGAGGTCAGATATCTTGATCGGCCCAGAACTCGTTATGGCACCTCAGGAATGAGAGCTGGCACGGTGCAGAGCGGGCACGGTGCAGCTCGGGCAGGCTGCAGAGTGGGTACGGTGCAGAGCGGGCAGGCTGCAGAGCGCGGCACGGTGCAGAGCGGGCACGGTGCAGAGCGGGCACGGTGCAGAGCGGGCAGGTGCAGAGCGGGCAGGCTGAGAGCGGGCAGGCTGCAGAGCGGGCACGGTGCAGAGCGGGTACGGTGCAGAGCGGGTACGGTGCAGAGCGGGTACGGTGCAGAGCGGGCACGGTGCAGAGCGGGTACGGTGCAGAGCGGGTACGGTGCAGAGCGGGTACGGTGCAGAGCGGGTACGGTGCAGAGAGGGGAGGCTGCAGAGCGGGTACGGTGCAGAGCGGGCAGGCTGCAGAGCGGGTACGGTGCAGAGAGGGGAGGCTGCAGAGCGGCGAGCGGCACACCACGCCAACTCGCACTCATAACTCTCTTCCTCCGATTAGTGCCAGCTGCCCGGCCCTCCAGTTTTGACAGATATAGTTGTTACATTATCCCTGGCTGCAATACGTGCTTCACAGATTTGTGCTGTAATTTCAACCACAAAGTTAAGCAAATCCCTAACAGCGTGCTAATTTATGGCCGTGCTGCTTCCAGAAGACATCAGTCTGTCATGTCGACCATGTTTTCCAGCACTGCTTCAGGTTTTCAGAGATGTCTGAAAAACAAAAGGTGGCATTCCACCTTTCTGTGAAAGGACATCGAGTCAACACAATCCATGAAACGAAAATGACCCCTGACCCTAGCCATGTGTAGTAACTGAGTCTGTAACGTCTGTGCAGG